TCCAGATGATATACCAACCTGACAACATTATTAGATTAACCTGTTAAATCTTGCATAATTTCCATCATTTATGCAACATGGCACCATAACATTTTCACTAAAAATCAGAAATAATACAAAGGACTAACCATCAAGCCTTCCCGAAGAGCTAATTGCTTTGCGGTTTCTATAGCTTCCTCACTAGAAATCTGGTAAGAAGCAACAAGAAGATAGTAATCAAAATGCCGATAAGAGTAACCGGTGATGTTTGTAGAACTATACCGAACCCAACAAAGTAGATCATACCGCTATGACTTCATCCATAATTTTCTGATCCAAATTCTTAGGTATAAATCCAGCTCCAATTCCTTGAATCTTGTGAGGTCCTATATTCAAATACAAGAAAAGATAGTACATAAATATTAAATCATAGTTCGAAACCAAGGAAACAAAATTACTGTCTGTGAGCCTTACCTGGTTTTCCACCAGAAAGTATGTCGCTTTCGGTGGGTTCTACACCAATAACCTGGTGCATGCAAACATCAAATAATTAAACAGGAATTTTACGGCTAAAACTAACACACACTGTCTAAATAACATCTGCAGATGTATTCAGGCTAAGATGGAACCTTTTTTTGTTGCTTTTACCTGCACTTTGGGGTTTTTCTCTTTAACGAATCGACCAACACCAGTGATAGTTCCACCAGTTCCAATTCCTGCAACAAATATATCCACCTTGCCTCTTGTATCTTCCCAGATCTCAGGACCGGTAGTCTCGTAATGAATCTGCATATTATATACTAAGACATATAATTGTAGTTCACAGTATTCAATTTCATACAATACGGTTCAATCTTTACGAAACAGGATCAGGCACTTGCCTCTTTGCGTGTACAATATAAGTGGAAATCTACTTGAATAACAGTGTGTTAATCCCAATTCTCAGTGTGTGTACTCTAGGAGAGTTCTCTCTTATGGTTTATGACTAGTCTAGAGCTAAAATCAATTCAAGAAAAAAACGGTAATAGGGAAAAGAATACTCGACAAACCTTCGGATTGGCAGGGTTATCAAACTGTTGGAGCATGTACGCATCGGGAGTAATTTTCAAGATTTCTTCAGCCTTTTGAACCGCTCCAGTCATGCCTTTGGCAGGATCTGTTAATACAAGCTCAGCTCCAAACGCCTTTAAAAGAACTCTTCTTTCCATACTCATGGATGATGGCATTGTCAAGATAAGCTTATATCCTCTTGACGCGGCAATAAACGCTAGGCCAATACCCGTGTTTCCACTAGTCGGTTCCACAAGAACACTCTAGATAAGGGCAGTAAGCATATGAAGTCAGAACGCTAACACATTTAGGCAGGATTAATTATAAGTCTTTACAAAAGAAAGATCAATCTATAATCGATACCTTTTCAGGTGATATAAGTCCTTTTTGCTCAGCATCAGTAACCATACTGTACCCAATCCTGAAATTCACGAAACAAAAAGTTTCAGACTTGACAAGGTTCAACTAAAAACATATGAACTCAAGCTACACACCTATCCTTGACACTGCAACATGGCTCCATGGTCTCGAGTTTAGCAGCAATGTTAGCAACACAACCCTTTGCGATACTATTCAAATACACCATAGGAGTTTTCCCAATGAGCTGAATCAAGTCAAAGAACATATGAAAGTTAAACAAATTTGAGCTTCTAAAAGAAAATTTCACAAAAAGCAATAGAGCAAACAAGCAAACGAATTCTAAATACGTACATGAAAAATTCCACATTTTCGATTTTCCATAAGCTGATCAAGTTTGAAATTTTAGTGGATAATCACATATACAACATTCCCATTAGAGGAAAGCTAAATTTGATCACTTTCTACAAAATTCAATCAATTTCAATTCTACGAAGAAAAACCCATCAAACCTGAGACACATTCTCGGCGATGTTGAGTCCATCAGCTCCAATCTCACGCTTCACGGCCTCGCACACAACCGACGACGGATCTCGTTCCGACACATCCCCATAACTCCGAATCTGTCTCGTCATCTTCAAAGAGAAATCAGAAGAACCCGCACGAGTGGAGAGGGAGAGAGAAGAGATTTCCGGCGAGCATCTGAAACGACGGAGACTAGAAGAAGTCAACGGATTAAGGAAGAGAGCAAAGGAAGATGTAGCTGCCATGGATGATGATGAAGCTCCTCTCAATGTGTTGTTGCAGCTTCGCTTTCCCAATAGTGTAGTCAGTACTGTGTTGCAGCTTCGCTTAGTAAACCACCTTGAAGCCATGATAATCGCCATGATCGTATTTTTTGTTTGTGAGAAAACGACGCCGATTGGATTTCCAGATACGGTATTTTTTTTTTATATACCAAGCTTTGGACTTTCATAAATTTCATTTGATTACCATAGGAAATAATCTTAGGGAAATTTGGATAACTAACCATCAAAAAAATATTCTTTGAAAATTTGAAAAAGTATTGGGAGACCAGTTTTGCTTAGGTGTCATCACCATATTTTTTTCTCAGTATATTTTAGTTAATTAATTGTTAATTTTAAACTACTACTAATTACCAAACACAAATTTTAGTCATTTATTTTGACATAGTTCAAGTTATCCCTACTTCCAAATATAGTTAGAGATTATATTTTATTTAATGAATCACTCTAAACCATTAATCGAAAGTAAATATTATTCCTTAGCAAACTAAATTGAATCAATGGAAAAATAATATGCAATTGAAATCTTTATATTTTTTATATGACTAATTATTATCATCGATGTTTCAAAAATATGCAAATAATTATGGTTTTAAATAAATTATCATTAAAACCTATACTCTACCTAAAACCATGTAATTAATCTACAAAACAAAAAAATATAAATCATATTGTAACAATACATTAGCTTAGATAAAAAAAATATTATGCATATACATTCACATAATAAATTAACACCAATCATGTTAATATTAAAAAGTGGACAAATTAATCATTTAACATCGTCATACAAAAATAAAAGTTCATTATACACATCAATCAATGTAAACAATGTCATTAACTAATCAAATATATTGTTTTTTAAATTTGATTCAAATCAACGCATGTTTTGTTGTTAGTCTAATTATACATAAATTGAATCTCTAAAAAGAAAACCACAGAACCAAATAATATATCAATTACGTGATTTATTTTTTTTTAATTGATTTAAATTAATTACGTGAATTTTTTTTCTTTCTAAATTTGATTTGATATCAATTAACTTTAGAATATTTCCTTTGAATTATTTCATTTTTTTTTCTTTAATCCGTGTGCATTAGTTATTCGATTCAGTATCAAATCAGTTAAAAAGTGGATAATAAATATTTCTATATCCTATTTAAGCGAGATTTTAGCATAATTATGGTTTTGTTTTTTAAATATGTCGCATTAAATATAGGACCCTTAATATATATTTAAAATTTGAAAAATTAAAATTTAGATATTCTGTTAAGATTTGATTTGATTTGATTCACAAA